GTGTCCTCCGTCACCAAATCGTCCAGGGTGTCAGGTCTACCCATTAGACAAGGCCCTTTGTCTATGGGGTTGGTCCACGTGTTGGGCTGTTTCGTATAAACAGCCTAAATGTTTCCATTATTCCCTCTGATCTATCACAACAGGTCTCTTGTTCGTTTTAACGTCGAAAATATTCCCAAGACTCCTGATTTTTATTAATTAAAAAACGTGTTTCTTCAATTTTCTTTCTCATTCTAAAAATCGTTCTAAATATTTGAATAAATTTGAAAAAAGCAAAAACCCTTCAAAATGATAGAAAATTATTTTTTCTCATTCTTTCCTCGCTAAATTCGGTTTTGCATCGCACAAATCCCGTAAATATTAACCGATATAACATTTTTTTTTTCAAAATCGTAGCGGCTCCATTTTCCGTTCACTGTTCCATTCTCCGCCGAATTTCATTCCGGGTTTCGTTCCAAGCTGGAACGCTCCAATAATTTCGTTCCAGGTTTCGTTCCTAGCCGAAACGTTCCAGACATTTCGTTCCGGGTTTCGTTCCAAGCCGAAGCGTTCCAGACATTTCGTTCCGGGTTTCGTTCCAAGCTGGAACACTCCAATAATTTCGTTCCGGGTTTCGTTCCTAGCCGAAACGTTCCAGACATTTCGTTCCGAGTTTCGTTCCAAGCGGGAACGTTCCAGACATTTCGTTCCGAGTTTGGTTCCGAGCATTTCGTTCCACGACTTTCATTCCAAGTTTCACTTCTAACTCGGAACGATACAATTTCGTTTCGTTCCGAGCCCCTGGAACGAAATTCAAACCGGAATGCGTTCCAAGTCCCTGCTTTTTAAAAGAACTAATCAGAGAGTTTGTCGGGTTGTTTTGAATGAGAACGCTTGTAAAGGTTATGTGCTTTCAAAAATGGGTGATCACGATCAATATTTTAATAACAATCGCCTAGATGATAATGAGACGGAGTTTGAAAATGATGGAAACTTTAAAGAAAATGACGAACTTCTGATTGATGCAGTGAGAGCATATCCACACTTATATAGTCATCAAGACAGGAACTTCCAAGATGCAATGATGAAAGAAAATTCTTGGAAAGAGATATCCATTGCAGTAAATATTCCAGGTAAATACAGATGAGATCAAATTATCGATTTAGTGCTGTTTATTTTATATTTCTGACGTTGGACTAATTTTTTCCTAAAAGATACTGAATGTAAAACTCGATGGATAAGACTCCAGGAAAGATTTGGAAAGGAAAAACGACAGAGGGAATCAGATGCTAGGAGTGGCAGTGGAGCGAGTAGACGGAGTGTTTTCGTTTACTAGGAGAATTTGCTCTTCCTTGATGATTATATTAAGAGGAGAAAGTGAGTGTGGCTCATGATAAAAATCGTTTTGAATGGAGTTGTTCATGACCAAATCTGATTGTATATTTTCTTTTTCAGAGTGCTCACTAATGTAGCCAATAAACGTCACAAAACAGCCGCAATTGATGAAAGAAATGGTTTTCTCGCTGTGCCACCAATATCGTTAATTTTTCAGCAAGACCTGGCGGCTGAGAACGGTTCACGAGGTTCTGAAATGGTTGAAAATGTTGAATTTCAAAATAATTCATTAGTACCCAGCTCTGATACCCAAGTTTCCACCTCAGTGCCTACACCAATCCAATCGTGTACCAACTTTCTTGCACCATTTCGGCAGAGAATCCAGCAAACAAATCAAAAGAGATAATCATCAAACCCAGTATTGGAGCAACAAGGCACTTCGCAAGTTGGTGGTTCATCTAGTGGTCAGCGAGATTTTCGAGAAATTCTTGATGATACTGAGGATTCCAGATGCTCAATGAGTTCTAGGCGCGAGAGTACACCTTCTCCAGCTCCATCATTGTGCCAGTCAACACCACAAAGACCAAATTCTAGGAAGAAGAAAAGCGACACAACGGTCTTGGAAACCACTCTGATTTCCTTATGTCAGACGCTGCATCAAAGTCTCCTCTCACTCTCAATGATAATGCAAACCCTCAAGCCGCTGGAAACACAGGCGGAACGTTTACAAAATTGATAGCAGATGAATTAAATAAACTTCCACCTGAAGAACAAAAGAAGAGACGGCTCGCTATGATGCAAATTTTATATGCACCATATCTTTGATTCACACATCCAACCAAAGTCTTTAACCAAAAGTTCCTAGTAATTAATTTTAATCATCAACTATGAAAAGATAATTATCAACTCATTTTTACCATTTACATATTCTCTTTGGCATGGTTAACATCCAATTATTTTTAAATATTAGATACTAATTTTTTTTCTACATTTTTTCCTATAGGTTGTCATTAACAATTTATGTTAAACAGTCGATTTATCATAGTCTGTTAATTGCGAAATTTTCTCCATAATCGTAAATGAGCGAAAAAAGTCTAACCATCTCTTTTAATAGTTAATGACATCCCTAACTGAGAAACTTTATTAACCTTCCATCTGGAACTCATTTACAACCAAGAAAAATAGTTAATTAGCTAAAAGTTTTATCACCCTAACATTTTACCGGAGTTCCGTTTGAACCTTCGTAGTGATAAGACGTGTTTTGGATACGCTCCGTAAACGTTACCAGTTCTTATCGTGATATAGTGCCTGTTTCAAACCGGAACACTAGTCAATGAGTCTAGCCCAGATGGGGCGACCCCTGACGCGTTCAAACTGTTTTTTCCACCCACACCAGAAGACATGAACGAAGTAATAAAGAATGATAGCGCAACTGCGTCTAGCTCCCAGACCCTACAGCCGCGAACATTCGCACAAGCAACCAGCAACTTGCAAAACCCAGAAGAGTTTCCAAGTGAAGAACAAGGAATAATTATCAGTGCAATCCAAGGTATTAAGATGAAAGAGTACATCTATGCGATTGGAGAACTTGTGGGCCGCAGCAACGTAGTCGGTGCTGAAAGACTCCTAGGAAACAGAATATCGATCTACGTCAAGACTCCAGAGCTTTTTGACAAATTGACAGCAACAGACACCAGCCTATTCATAGGAGACAACAAACTTAGTATTACACCAGAGAAAGCCAAAACGTCTCTCCCAAAATTCCACACGCGGCCATAGAAGAAGCCCTGAAGCTCAGCAAAATTGATCCAGTCACAAAGGTTACCACAATTAAGTTCAACTTAGATAAGGAGGGGTACTCTATGGCGAGTTCCAGAAGACAATGCCAAATTAGAGAGGAAGACGCTCTAAAAATCTCAGAGAATATCAAAGTCGTATATCAGGGAAAACAATACCTGATCACAACGGCTGTTGACAACCAAGCATGTTACAAGTGTAATAAATCAGGCCCCATTGCAAGGAACTGTACGCAAGACAAATCCGGAGATAATCCTCAGAGACGTTCTATGGCACAACGCCTGTCACAACAAAGAGCTGAACAGCCCCCAACCCCACCAAACCCCTCACCGAATGATCTGACAGCCGAAGCAGAGGATAACAATGGAGGAAAAACAAAAGGTCAAACAATGATCGATTTACTCACTAAAAGACCAATTGAAGAAACCAGGGAACCAGAAATTACACCCGTGCTGCAGGACAAAATGGAAACAGAAGACCTCCAAAATTTTAAACGGCCCCCAGCAAAAACAAGTCAGAGCTCCCACATACAAGACGGCTCAGGAGAGGAGAGTGAAGATGCATCTGAGGTACCAAGGGAACACCTGAGAAAGGTGAAAAGACCCAAAATAGGGAAATCTCGGCTTCTCACAAGAGAGTTTATGAAGGCCCACTCAGTTCAAGTAGCCAGGATGCTTAAAAAAGCCCAAACGACTACTGCATCGACTACAATGAGTTTCTCAACTTTCTTGACAAAACCTTTGAACTGAAAGACCTATGACTTCTCACTGAGCAAATTGGAAAGAATCCATCTGACCTCGCAACCACCCTAAGATGTCTTCACCCCTTCATCTCAGACATAACACTCAAAGGCAGATTGACCAAGTTGGCAAACAAATTGGAAGATATCTCAAATAACACTGAAGAGGATGGATACTTGACTGCGTCATCTCAAAATTAATTGTCGACCATGGATACTCAACAAACGCAACAACAACAACCTAGACAAACCGACTCCCCCTGTAGCCTGAGGGTCATATTCTGGAACATCAGAGGAATCAACGCTCATCGGGAGGATATCGAACTTGCCCTGGAAGACATTGACGTTTTCGTTGGTGTCGAGACAAAGCTCAACCCGGTGGACAGGCAAAACTATAACTTTTCTGGCTGCAATACATACCGTGTAGACAGACCCAATGTATCGACTGAAACAGGGCAGGGAGGTATCATAATAATTACTAAAAACTATTTATCCGTCAAACCCTGCAAAGACATTACTAATCCCCATCCGAATGTAGAACTTGCAGCCATTGAAATTAACAATATCAAACCTAAAATAAATGTATTAGCTTGCTACCGAAACCCAGAGAGTAGCCTGCATATTGAGCACTGGAATAAAATAATTAGCATATATAGAGACCTCGAAAATTGCCTACTAATTGGAGATTTTAATGCTCATCATGTTGCGTGGAATTGCAGGCAAAACAAACCAGATGGTCTCAAATTATATGATTGTATCGAGAGAAACGATATAATTCTGCATAACACCGATACCTTAACAAATATAGATGTATACAGGGGGAAAAAATCGAATATAGACTTAGTAATGAGCAGCCCGGGAATAGCAGAAACTATAAAGGTTGAAACAATTGATGAAACTTGGGAGTCCGACCACTACTCAATAAAAATCAATCTCGATGTCCAGAAAACTCAATATGCTAGGAAATCTTTCAGGATCACATCAGTACAAACAAACTGGTGCGCACTTGAAGCACTTTTAAAGAACTCATTCACACAGTTCCTAACACCAACTTATGAAAATCTAAATCCGATTGAAAAATATAGATATTATATAGAGAATATAGCTATTAATGTAGGTAAATGCACTCCGAGGAAAAAACAGGTACCAGCGAAAAATCATAGGAACCCTGTTAAATGGTGGGATTTAGAATGCTCCAGGGTTCAGAGACTTCGCTGAGCCGGATACAAAAAATGGAGATGTACCAAGCCACTTACTGACCTAATAGCTTTCAAAAAATCCACTGCCATTGCCAGGAAAACCTTCAAACAAAAAAAGAATCAATGCTTTATCGAGTTTACCGAAACATTAAATTTTAGGAAAAATATAAAGTATGTCTGGAGCACGTGCAAGGTATTAAAAAATGCCTGGATAAATACAGGATCACACAAGCCCAAAGACTTTCTTGAGACAAGACAAAAGGTTCTCCAGGCAATGCAAAAATTAACTTGTGACGTAGACCCCACTAATCCTACCTTCATCCCCCACTCAGAGCCAAACCCTTTATTCGACCAGCCCTTCTCCTTTGATGAATTTAATTATGCATTACACCATAAAAATAGCCATTCAGCACCGGGGCTTGACGGTATAGACTATAACTTACTTAACAAACTCCCAGTCCAGCTCAAATTGATACTTATAGATATCTTCAATGAAATCCATCAGTCAGGAGAATTCCCATCAGAATGGAAGAAAACCTTCCTCCACTTCATCCCCAAGAGCAACAACTCCGGAGTCAGACCCATAGCCCTAACGTCTTGCGTACTCAAACTGTATGAATCAATATTAAAAAATAGACTGCAATGGTGGGTGGAGCGAAAAAACATCCTCCCTTTCTCGCAAACAGGGTTCAGATCCGGACTATCCTGTACAGACAACCTGGTAAATCTCACACTTCATGTAGAACATGTCTTTCGAGAACAAAAACAAACCCTAGCAGTATTCTTAGACGTTACCGGAGCGTTCGATAACGTCGAGGGGAACAAATTACTAAATATCCTCACCGAGGTCGGGTGCTCTAGTACCATCCTTAGATTTATAAAATTCCTCACCCATGAAAGAGTTCTGCACTGCGAAGCACTGGGAGATGATACTAGGACAACCAGTAAGGGGCTCCCTCAGGGTCGAGTGCTTTCCCCTCTCCTTTACACAATCTATACCAGGAATATTCTCAGTAAAATAGACCGTAGAGTAGAATCACCACTTTTCGCAGATGACAGCCTTGTTCATATGTATCACAAAATATGAAACCGACAAAGCCATACTAGAAAAATCTATAGAGCAGGTGGCAAATAATCTCAATGATTTAGGCCTAAAAATTGCCCCCGGGAAAACGGTCCTTCTCCGTTTTAACAAAAAAGGATCACCGCCAGAATGCACCCAGATTAAAATAGAAGAACACACCATTATATCTTCTCCGACTGCCAAATTTTTAGGCATACACTTCGACCAAAAATTAAATTTCAATCAACACATATCTGTGCTCCAACAAAGGTGCATGAAAGCTTTGAACATCGTAAAATTTTTACGGAGAACCTGGTGGTGAACCGACCCTGAAACACTGATCAGATTATACAAAAGCTATGCCCGATCCATAATAGACTATGACCTATTTGTTTACTTCCCTAATACCAGGAAATATGAGTCAAAATTAGAATCGATCCAATATGCAGCTATACGCTTTGCTCTGGGATACAGACGCTCCACCCCAACCAATGTCTTGATAGGAGAATCCAAGCTCATGCTGATTCAACACCGCGCCAGCCTCCTATTCAAGACATTTTTGATGAAAATTCTGAGCAATTAATCCAGTCAACTATTTGATACAATTTCCTTGATTTTCAAAGAAAAAAAAACAAGAAACCTTAATAAAGATAAGCTAGTCACTAAGTGCATCAGAACGGTGCTGCAATTTGAAAAAAACTTGCAAAAAGGAAGCAATTTCAACATGTTCCTCCACTCCTACAGCACCCTATTCAGCTCTATAAATACAAAAAACGATCTTGGTACAATACTCCAAACCCTCTTAGCTCCCAACGAAGCTCTTAATCAAGAAATCCAGAGTAAATCAAAACTGGAACATTATCTATACAGACGGTAGTAAAGATCCGGGAGCGGAGTATGTGGGAGCGGCCTGTCACTGCCCCAACCTGGGCATTGACATCTCTGTCACCCTCAACACTGATTGCTCGGTTTTTACCTCGGAGTGCATAGCGCTGAACCTAGCCATAAATCCGGTAAACAAAAATAGCGAAGTCAGCCACCTCATCTTCTCGGACTCTCTTAGCGCACTACAAAGCCTGGAATCCATCCATTTTCACCCTCACATCAACCCGTATATCTTACTTGCAAAAGAAAAATATAATAA